AAATACCGAAAAAACTATCAAAATACCATCACTTATAACTTTAATATGAAAAAATATTTGGCATCAACTATTCTAGACAGTCAAGTTCATAAAACTTTAAAGAACGATTCTGATCAACATTTAAGCTTTTTTCAGTCTGTTACATCCGATGAGAAAAGTATAACAAGGCAGGCGTACATGTGAACTTCCTTTTTATAAATTTTGAAAGAAACATTGTCAATATTCGCTACATAAATTTCGTCTATTTTTACAATATTCAGTATGCATAGCATAGAGAAGACAACAATCGTTTTTTGTCTGCATAAGTGTATTTCTACTTTTCAGGTCGGGTATGATGGCCTTTTTTGCCTCAAATATAAGAATGGAATTCAATGTCTGTATAATATGGCAAAACTGAAATACTCTACAAAATTCAAGTAAGTGAACCACATAGTTCCGATAACATAAATACCAAAAACCTTATCCAACTGAAAACATAGAAAGATGCTGTTGAGAATTCATAAACAATTTTACAAGTTCAGAATAATGTTACAAGTTAACTGATAACGAAACGAGGCTTATCTTTGTGATGCTTTTAAACAATCCGTATAACTCCATCACTTCACACAAAGAATTTTATTAGTGTTTTTAAAAAAAAAACTTGCATTTTTAAGACTTTTCAAAGTTTTCCTACTCCCGTTTACGTTTTACAATGAAACTTCTAGTAATGTCATCTGTCTTTTGCTTCAAGTACTGAACAACAGATTAAAGAGGGAAATGTCGTTAAATTGTTTCATCTATTTAGAATTCAGTGTCTGTATTTTGCCTAAAAATTCTTAACTCTCAATCATTATACCACAACTTTCACATTTTACCTCAGCGCTGTGGTGAGAAAAAGACTTCAAAATCTTTCCCTTTAGCAACACAGTCAAGAAGTGATGAGAAAACTTTCGACACTTTTCTTTTGTACCTAGGGCTTGTAACTGCAGACAGATTTCTGTATAAATGGGTGTGATAAAGAAAGCTTTTAAAATTATCAACCATCTTTTTTGACGTTTACATGGTCAGAGTTCCATCTTTAACCAACGATCTCAGTTAACGACTCAGTCAACTGTGTTGACATTATCATGATGAATTTCTGCATGATACTAGTGTAACCGGTTGACATTAATTGACCTATTAGCCTTTTACTTTTTGCAAGACTATTACGTGCCAAATATAAGCGTAAAATGTTTGATTTTGGATGCTTTTTTAAAGGCCTTCAATCTTACCTTATTAGACTGTGTGAAAACTTTCCGAGTAGATGGAAAATCTTACCGATTACATTGAAAGGATATGCAGGATTGAGTCTTCGAGACAGTAACAAGTAGTAGGTGACATTCGTAAGTGATGGGAAGCAGATAATGTATCAGTCTGAAATTTTTTTCTTTGCATAGAAAGTAATTTTATCCCTATGGTAGCATCTGTATGTTCACCTAAACATCGTCTACTGGGTAGTATCTATAATAAGTTATTCAAAAGCCTTTTTAGATAAGCGCAGTTTCATTGGAGACAAGGCGGATGGCTAGGATCCAAGAATATTTGGTCGAATCTAGACATTCATCCAAATGCTGATCTTATAGTTTCTACGAAACTATTATTAGTCTTCTGGGATATCTCAGTTAACTATATTAAGAAGCCTCAAAGAACTTTGTCTTCAGCAAACACAAATTTGATGTTTGTGTACATGACAGTAAATGCAAAATATTAGTTTTTTTTCGATTTCTTATTCCTTGTTTCGGGTATTCTTCAGGATTTTTGACATTTCTAATGTGTAGTAATTTTGTAATTTTCCACTACTTTTTATTACTTGGAGTTTCTATTACCACAACCTTTTTTAGGTGGTTTGAGACAGTCAGCAGGAAACCCTTTACCTAGGTTTCGTGACTGTTGGCGCGTACCAGCAAGATGTATCTGCATCTTCAAGACAAGTGATTTCCCCTCAGTGATCCGAACTGACACAAGGCTGCGAATACAGACATTACTAGTGAACTACTAGAGTGGAGACTGACCCCATGTAGGACTTGATCAAACAGTGTGGTTGGCCAGTGTAGGTTAACCAGTTTCAGTTTATCTAGTCTTAATCACTGATTTTCCCGATCTGGTAACCAAGCTAAAAAAGTCACCATCGTAATGCCCTTTGATTGGTAAGTGACAATGTGAAAAAGTGGCCTTCATAATGCTTGGATTGTAAATTGATTTGCCTAATTATACAAAGGAATGAAATCTTAAGAAAAAGATTGTCAAATTGCCGAAATCCTCACTATTCATTGTTAACATTTCTCATCGTTGAAGTAGAGTATGAAGCTCCTTCCGAAAATCCATCTTTCTGACTCTTGCTTTTGAATATATATTCCTTAGAATATCCAACAGCATAATACCAGCGGCATTTTATTGTTTCATGTTAATTTATTCATCAGAAACAAAAATGTCTTCATTATTCCACTCAACTATAACATTAACCAACCTTAAAGAATGCGAAAAACTTTGATCCCATTCTTGTTTCATTTCCCGCTTATGTTCACATGTTTTGCAGGTTTAAAAGTATATTTTATTTGACATACGTTTGTGAATAAGCACTTTTACACTTCATACTCTGTTATTTGATTATCTGTGGTATATCATGATTTTTATTTTATAAGTTACTGTAAAGTAATGTTGTACTTTACAATGACATATTTCTGATATCAGGACTTCAAGTAAAGCACATATTGAGTGATTGTAGAAAATTTCTTGACATATGCTAAAAGTATTCTCCCATCATTTAGATGGCGACCAAAAACAATTTTCATGTACGCCTGAAACCATATGCACACCTTATTCACTTCATAGTTCTTTTTCAACGTAATAAGTAGTAAAATCCAGTGAATAGGTAACTTGACCAGCACAGGATTTCACATGGTCATACACCTTTCCATTTTAGATTTGTTTATTGAATATAGTGCACAATGATATAGTATTATTTATTATTATTATTATTCCGAGGAGAATTTACTGCTCATATTTATATCAATGTAATCACACTTCATTTGACATCTGTTTTTTATAGTCTTGTCATCTCATATTCTTTGTTTCTACGGGTAGTAAAATTATCCATATCTCTTGTATAGTTGTTGTATCATTCTTACCTCATGTGTTTTGGCTGTTGACTAGATGAACAAAGACTCAGTAATCAATCTCTCTGTTTCCACCTAATTATATTAAACGTAAGTAGAGTGGTTTATAACATCCTGTTGTCTTGTTGTATGTAATGCATGCAATGAAATAGCCAAGTTTCTTCTTGATTATTGATCCTGTTGTGTCTGTCATTCTACATTTGACTGAACTCTTATGTTTCGATAATCTAACTGATCTTAATCGGCTTGTTTGATCTAGGTACTTGACCTCATGGTCATTTCCAGGGATTTGATAGATTAGATTATTTTGCTTAACCGGATCTATCGGGTCCTTACTTATTTATCCCTCTGATTAAAGTTCATGCATAGATGCTTAAAAGAGAATAAATTATCAGCAAATTTACAAGAAAAAGTGGTATCAAATAAAATCGAGAAGTGTATTTGATTTTGCAGAAGGAAGACTTGTAAATTGTCTCAGTGAGCTGAGTAAATTTTAATTTACATCAAGGGATTTGTTATAATACACTTTTCCAACTTTGACAATCATAGTTATTTTATCGAGAGTTCTCTAAGGCTTTCAAAGTGATATGGACACTTATCTTTAACTGTATAGCAAGTAAAGCGTTTATCAGGGCTGAATTTTATTATCAGCTAAACCTATTAAGCACGAAAATTACTTCGTAAGAATTATTACGATAAAACTTTGTTAGAACAAATATTTGCCAAGGTCAATGGCAGTGATGATAGACAAAAGTGCCTATAGATTTTCGTACACTATGAAGTTTGATTAAGATTGCCAATTTTAGTTAATAGTGCTTCACCAGTTAATCGTGCCAAAACTTACTATAACTACTTAAAGTGATAAACAATGACATAAGTAAGGTTTCACCTATAGCTGTACGAAACACGCTGTAGAAAATACGCTTCGGGTTTTAACTGAAACTTTTTTCTTTCAATTTTCAGGTTAAGAGGTGGATACAAATTACAATTCCTACATATTCTTCAATGTATTTTCATAGTTCAGACCAAAGTTTTAACATGCTCTATCAGTTTAAGGTCTTAGATGTATCAAATGTTTTGTGGTGTATAGATGTCTCTGTGCTGACATTGTTTCGTTCCAGTCCTCAAGTACTTCGTCTAAGTGCACTTATTTATTTCTACTTCGTGACCATTAATTGACTGTATCTCATTCTTAAATCTTATCAGGTTCAGATGGTCACAAAATCAACCTTCACAGGTATTTTTCAAAACTTCTGACAATTACGTATTGTTTACTTACAGAGCACTTTAACGGATAATACACTTTACTTGTGATGAGGACAGCGTTTAACCATATATCTAGTGATGTTCCTCGGAAACAAAAGTACCAACTAGGTCATGTTGACCTACTTAAACCTATATCGAGAAGTTTCAGGTTCGATTCTTCATTTTCATACCAAGTTCATCTATAAGTCTCTTTAAATCAAAGTACAAATGCGATAAATTTCGTCCCCCTAGGTAGTGATGTTTGGTTCAAGTTTGGTTTAAAACATTTGGTCTAGTGCCTATTGTTGTGAACACACATGGTCACACATATCTGCTTCACCTGCCAGCCATGTTAACACGTGAAAACTGGAGCAGTGGACCGGCATCTATGAAACACTTAATCTAACAACTAAAGTCTTCTTTCTTTGTGTTTATCCCATCTGCACAGAATTAGAGCACTAAGTACACACGTTTCGTGAAAAATAGGATCTCAACAGGAGTCTTGATATAGTTCGTTCTATAAGTAAAACATTAAATTCTGCAGCAAAATGTCAGTGAACGTAACCTGATAGTGAACTTAGAATGATAATATGGATGTATCAGAACAGTTCAACTACTTACCGACAGATAAATCGCCCAGGTTTACATATCGGTACAAAAGTGTCGATATCATCACCGCTAACACTACTGCTCTCACTTCTGTCATTCAGTTTTCCATATTCCAAGGTACCATTCTGTTTTCCAATTTTCGATGTTCCATTCCTTTTTCCATTTTCAATTATACCATTCAAATTTCCAACGTCATCTTCTTGTGTCTCATTCACCTTTCTATTTTCATGTCTGCCATTATGTTGACCATTTTCGTGTATTTCAGCGCCTTTCCCATTTTCATGTGTACCATTAAGATTATCATTTCTCAACGTATTATATTTCTTTCCATGCTTTTCTTCTGCATTCATAGTATTGCTTTCACGTATGATATTGTGAGTTCCATTTTTCATTGTTCCATTTTGTTTCTCATTCTTCACAGTTCCATTCACCTGTTCGTTTCCTTGATTGCTATTTAGCTGAGCGATTTCTCTACCTATTCTGTTTCCGTTAATCTCATTCTTCAAGTAGCCTTTCCTATGACCATTGAAAATTGACATTTTTAGATATCTGAAGGCTTTCAAATGACAAAAAATGTTAAATTCAATTGAATAGGTCACTGATAATAATGAAGGTATATGCCAATGTTATTTATACCGTTACGATCTCGAGTAATAGTAGTAAATATTCAAATAATTATGTGGGCTCTCAGAACAGTAACAATATGTACTTCGGTATATTTATTATAAATAGTAATATTGTTATTACCGTCAGAGTAATAATAATTTTAAGAGTTACTTATTTCTTTTTGATTTTCTGGTTTTTGATTGGTTGATTAACAGCTTATTGATGTTTACATTGTTTCCTATAGTCACTGGAATGTTTGTTAACAGTATTGTTGTTCACTCAGCTGAACAACTGATATAGATGCACATGAAAAATATGCTGTGGTTGGTTTATAGATATGCATGTCCGCCATTTACAAACATGTATACAAATTTAACAGAAATACACCGAACAAGATTTGAAAATTTAAAACTATTTAATAGTATTGAGGGTATACATGTACATTTTATAAAAAAAACTATAGTAAACAAGAAAGTCAACTACAGTCAGAATTTCTAAAAGTGAAAATGTTAATTATTTATCATTTCAGGGTGATTACTATTTACATAACAGAGGGGAAGCAAACAACCAGTTAGTCGCTTTTTTTTTTGTGTGTGTGTGTGTATGCTTAGCATGCTGCCCCCGCATTACTCTGAAAATGAAATTGTACTGTCAGTATTAAAATGGAATGTGGACGAAAGATAATTGGTACTATTCTGTAAAAATAAACTTTTGTCCAAAAGTTTCTCCACTAACTGTTTCCTTTAGCTGTTCTTCACTTTTTGTGCAATAAGTACACATAGACCATTTTCACATAAAGGGATAAAAGAAGTTTAACTATGAAATGGTTATTGGGTTGGAATTCATCATGGACTGATATCATTTGGAGGAACATTGAAAACCTGAAATCATTGGACAGCTGTCTTGTCCTAGTATAGGATTCCTCAGCGGTGTCCACCCATGACTGGCAGAGTCAACCAAGTCGAACATGAGGACAGTTATTCAGTAACGAAATTGGATGTAGGTTGCACTATACCATGAGCTGACAGAAGTAAGAAATTTGGACCAGTGGATTCCAACTCAGTGGCTCAATATTAACATGCTGGCTGAGGAACCTGAAAGTCCTGTGTTCGATCCCAGGCAGGGTCACATGGGTAAGGACTGCTGAGTGGTCCCATATGAGTAGGAAACAGCTGTTCAGTGCTCTCAGGTTTCCAATGTTCCTCGTCGTCAATCCATGACGAACTCCAACCTGAAATCCCTTAATAATAAATCTCCACAAAATCTCCAGATAGAAATAAAATATAAAAAAAAATGGTTTTTTGACACGACAGAGAATATATTTAACTGAGTATATGAATGCTCTAATAAGAAAGTCCTCTGAGTTGGGACAGTTTAGTAAAGAGCTGAAAACAATATTTTTGCCACCATATTCAGTGCAATTAAAAAACTGATAGAGATGGTGATTCTGAGCAAAGTATTTGCACGAGTTTAATATACGTTGTTAATGATTAGTTTACCATTATATCCTTTGGTGTTTTGTCATTTGAATTTCAAATCCAGGACATTTTTTCTTTCGATAGTTAGTTTATCTCCGTCTACTAAGATATGTAATCCATCCTGATTTGACTGGTTGTTACTGTTGATTTCAGTAATGTAAGTATGGGATTTTAGCCTTGTGGTAAGCTAACCCAATATAAAGTGCAGGCTTAGTTGGGTATGCAATCTTCGATAAGCTTCAAAAATATCAGTTTGGTCATGAACTGATAATCGTTAATCTAAAGAAGTTTTGCACAAATGTTACATTTTGGGGTTATTTAACGCTAACACTAAAAATTTGCGCAATACAGTCAAAAAAGTAGTTAAGGTATTCGTGATATTATTTTATTTCCCAATTTCTCCGCAGCTGTGAAATTTGATCTGGAATAATTGAATTTAATTAACAGTTTACGCAAGAGAACCTACTAAGTTTAATTTAACATATCAATATTCAAGTCCAGACATTTAATCATGAAATACATGTGAATTACATAACATCAAGAAAAGATTAGGTATTTTATCGAGAGTCACTTCAGTCCTTCTAAACTGGTGCTTTAGTTTGCACGGGAGTTCTAAAAATTTTTATCAGTAATTATTGGAGCAAAATGTAGAAGACGCTTGAATATTCCCTGGAAAAAAATATGGCATCTAGCTGGTCGGAAAACGTTACCTACATTATAAGATGTGTCTTTTGATGGCCGATGCAATGGCATCATATCCAAAAGAAGTCATCAAAAAATCTGAAAGTAATTTGATCTTGTTAACCTTCGTCTCTATTTATGACACCTTTTTGTTCAGTAACAGTAAACGCTAAATAAGCAAGCTGTTGTTAATCTTTAATAGTGTTCACAAAGTATCAAGTTTACAATAGAATTGGAAAGCGAGAACTGTTTAGCCATTTTTGATGCGTACATAACATGAAATCAGAGTGCAACAGTGAGATAGAGTATTCATTATAAACCAATTTTGAGAAACCAGGATATGTTCTTTTACAGTTTCATTCATGTAACATGTGACAAACAGCTTGATCGTAACACTCTAGTATGATCAGAGAAACTCTGCTTCAAAACGAGCTGTATGACAAACTTGCACTTAATAAAAGGTGTCCATTATTCAGTGGATATCTACTGAAGACCATGTTGCAAAAACAGTTAAAAGAATGATCTGAAATCAAGTATTTCAAACAAACAATGCTGTTAAGTTCATGCCAAGGGATCCACCCACGTATTCAGTCACAGAGTTCAAAGTAGACAGCTTTCTGAAATTAATAACTTTCAAACGAAAATATCAGTTTATATTAACATATAGTGGTAATGATATCATATCAACTGAGTAACGAACATCAAGTAATATGTCAGATGGCCTATTACATCTACTTTTCAAAAACCCAAAGATATTTATTAGTGCAGTAGCTCTCCAAGTGGCGAAAATAGGGAATTAATGATAAATAACCAATGCATAAGGAGGCCTACACTTTGGAAACGTTTCCAATAGAGTTTGCAATAGCCAATACAAACAGGAAAATTCAACAAAATTTATATACTTAGGAGATTATTGTGACTATCCTTATGCAACTGTGGTACGGTTTGAAGACGTTTGTGAACACTTTTTTTCAACTAACCATGTGACATTATTCCTTTTTATTGAACACATTGAGCCTACCGCTGTTTCAGAATCTCTTCTTCAAGTGATTCTTCAATTAGCATTATAGTCACATCAGTTTAAGTAAAGGTCTTCATATAAAAGTAAATACTTTGATCATTTAATTCCTCATTTTTAGGGCTTACTGCATCATCCATTTATTTATTTTATGTATTTCTTACATTTTGATATTACTGTTAACCAGCTCCTTGTTCTTAAACATATAAGGCTTCTTAGAACTTATCGAAAAGACGAGACTAGATTGTTTAAAAGAACTTAAATACAGAGTTAACACGCTAGTTAGTACCTGAAGAATTACAAATATAATGTCGTCCATGTTTAGGTAATAATAGGATTCAATCTATCACTTTGCATTGTGTTTATCCAGCATAGAGAGTCAAAATCGCAATGAACTTTGATTGATATCAGATGGTTGAAGGCTATTGGTAGAGATCTCCGAACCTATCCCCAATTCCTTTTAGCACTCATCAGCAAAACGTATGAACAACCTCAAGAGAAGTGACTTCCTGTCAAAGATTCGAACCCACATAACCCACTGATGCAGTCAAAAACGTTACTACTGAGCTTTTCAGTCACGGGAACAACAGATATGAGACCTGTCCGTAGGTGCATTGACTGCATATTCACCCTTTGCTTGGTTCTGAAGCAAAAGTAAACTTACGGAACCCCAACACCAGCTGAGTTTTATGATCTGAATGCGTCCATCGACTCCATCGATCTAAAAGTTTTATGACAGTTTCACTCCCTGAAACGGGTGCTGAGTAAGTATATCACTTTATTGTAGCTACCGTACTCGAACACTCGTGGACATGTAAAAGCCTACAGTGAGTTATCAGGCAAGTTGCGTACGTCGAGTCATTTCCGTCAAGGATATATACTTTTTCTCTGACGTACTTATGGAGGTTTGTCTTTCGTCATCTGACTTTACAAAGATTGATCTTTTCATAATAAGTCATTGATAGACCTGAAGTACGCATATGACATAATTCTGTCAGCTGGATGCACTGAGAAGATGCAGAGTATTCTGAACATGTTAAGTAGCAATATGAGAATGTTTAGGAAGTATTTCTCACCACCCGTATACAAATTTTTGTTCCACGACTGGTCTTCAGTGGCGCACTGTTTCACAATAGGGAGTGAAGTGTTTGTGCACATCGAGTACTTCACTTGCTTGGAAAGTCAGATAAGACTTGCTGCATTAGTGACTGTCAAAATATCTTTACAGATACATAAAGCTTTCTTGACCTCTGTAGGAGTACGTTATTTATGATGCAGGCATGATATCCGATTGCCTATTAAAGACCCAGTGTGCTGCGCTGAAGGTCGCTTTGTTCTACTGTATGACAGGGAAAAGTACCCAGTAAAAGCACAAGACTTTAAAAGACTTCAGGTGCTCGACCACTCTTATCTTCGTAAGACAGACCGTTTTCCATACTGTCACCTCGTCAGTAATGTAGAATCCAGGCGTACAGTTCTAGGCAGAAGAGGACAGTCGGTTGATGAGATTGTGAATCTTTGTCCACTCACGTGATTCGGAAATGTGTTACGTATAACTAGCAACCATCTGACACGTCGCACAAAGTTGGCTGAAGTAGTTTCAGAGTGGAATATGTTTAGAGTTGGCCAGACTAAAACATAACGTTGGTCTATGAAGTATTTTAATGTTGATCTAAGCAGTGTAGGAAAATGCAGACTTTCCGGTAGGGATCTACGTGATAACGGAAACCAATTATTGGAAACTGTATGTGATGTGACTCAGAATCAATCTCAGTGGCAGTGATGCATTTACAAATTAACCTTATCATAATCGTCACAATGAATCCAGTATTACTCTGTTTCTTCTTCCTCTGTTTTACTATTTTCTAATTCTTTTGATCGTTCCTCTCTTATTTCTTTATCTTTCATTTTTGTTTGGTGTAGTGATATTTGCCTTGGCAACTTCTATCAAAATGCAGTAATGCTAGACCCTTTGTTGATTATTTTTGTCTCTGTCTCTCTCTGTTACATATGAGTTGATATGTCCACCACTCTTCTCTTATGCTGCGATCCCCTTTTACCCTTTCTGAGTATATTTTTAACCATATTCTTGCA